TGTCCTGACTTCTCCTTCCGTTGGCATCGATTGTAGAACCAAGCAACGTGAATTCCTTGACAACCTCAATCTTCTCTCCATTTATTGTGATGCTGCTCCTTGGTCCAGTTGTGAGGATTTTTGTTTTCTTTATATTGAGAAGTAATCCATACTTCAGACTGTATTCTTCAACCTTCATCAGTAGGTGGCTTAAGTCATCCTCACCTTCTACCTTCTAGTCAGTGGTTTACTCTCTCTACCCCTCCCACCCTTAGTCATCATCAAATAATGTTTCTTTTTGTATGAAAACCTTTTTTTTTTACTTTTTATAATAGTGATCTTGCACAATATTTGTCCTTTTGTGATTGACTAATTTCATTCAGTGTGTCCCTAGATTCATCCATGTTATACTTTGCAGATTTGTCATTATTATTTAATGTTGGGTGGTAGTCTACTGTGTGTGTACCACAGTTTGTTCATCCATTGATTGGCATTTAGGTTATTTCCATCTTTTTAATATTGTGTATAGTGCTGCAGTGAACATGTGTGTGCATGTATATCTTTATATCATGGCTCTTATTTCTGTAGGATATCTGTCTAGTAGTGGGATTGCTGGATCATGTGGTGTTCCCTGCAAATGAATATCCAGGTTTGCCTGCATGGTTTGTTAAAGAGACTCAATGGGCTTTTGGTCCTCTGTCAAAAATTAGCTATCCATAAACCAAAACCAAACTCACTGCCATCAAGTCGGATCTGACTCACAGCAACCCCTCCTTGGGCTTCCGAGGTGGTATCACCATGGAAGTAGATTGCCCAACCTTCCTTCCAAGGAGTGGCTGGTAGGTTTGAACCACCAGCCTTCTGGTTAGTAGTCAAATGCCTTAGGCACTATACCACCAGAGCTCCCTAGCTGTGCATAGGTATATGGATTTACTTTTAGGTTCTCAATTCTGTTCCATTGGTCTGTGTGTCTGTTCTTATACTATTACCAGGTCATTTTGACTACTGTGGCTCCATAGTAGGTTTTGATGTCTGAAGTGTGAGGCCTCATAGTTGATTTTTCTTTAGTAGAGCTTTGTTTATCTGAGGTTACTTTCCTTTCCATATAAAGTTGCTGATTATGTTTTTCCGTCTCTTTAAAAAATGATGATAGACATTGCATTATATATGTAGATTGCTTTGGGTAGTACTGACATTTTAACAATATTACGCCTTCCTATCAATGAGCATGGTATATTCTCTCTTTTATGTATGTCTGTCTTGGTTTCTTGTGGTAGTGCTTTGTAGTTTTCTTTGTGTAGCTCTTTTTTGCATCTGCTTAGATTTATTCCTAAGTACTTCATCTTTTGAGTGGCTGTTGTAAATGGTATTATTTTCCTGGTTTGTATTTCAGAGTTCTCTTCATTTGTGTAAAGGAATCCGAGCTGACTTTTTGTATGTTGATCTTGTACCCTGCCACTTTGCCAAATCTTTCAGTTAGTTCCAGTAATTTTCTTGCTGAGTCATTAAGATTTTCTACATATAGGATCATATCATCTGCAAATAGTGATAGTTTTACTTCTATGCCAATATGAGTGCCTTTTATTTCCCTTTCTTGCTTATTGATCTAGCTAGGACTTCCAATACAATATTGAATAGGAGTGGTGATAAAAGGACATCCTTATCTGGTACCCATTCACAAGGAGAATGCTATCAGTCTCTCTCCATTGAGATTAATGTTGGACATTGCTTTTGTATATATTTACAAGAAATATTCAAGAAAGTTCTTCATGCTGAAATCAAGTGACACCAAATTGTAAGTCATATTGATAGAAAGAAATGAAGAGTACTGCAAATGATTGATATGGAGGTGAACATAAAAGATTCTATAATGCATCTTTCTTTTAGAGACATGTAACTGAATAAATCAGTAATTGTAGCACTGCATTGTTGGGTATATAACATATGTTGTTGTTAGTTGACATTGAGTCACCTCTGACTCATGCCCTTATGTGTAACAGAACAAAACGTTGCCCGGTCCTGTGCCATCTTCATGACCATTGGTATGTTTGAATCTATTGTGGCTGTTGTGTCAGTCCATCTCATTGAGAATTTCTCTTGTTTCTGTTGGCCATCTACTTTAACAGACATGATGTCCTTTTCCTAGTGGTTGGTCTTTCCTGAGGATGTGACCAAAGTGATCAAGTCAAAGTCTTACCATCCTCACTTCTAAGGAACATTCTGATTATATTTCTTCTAAAACTGATTAGTTCTTTTGGACATCCAGGGTATATTTGGTATTCTTAACTAACACCACAGTTCTAATGTATCAGT